TTTAAAATGGTTTAAAGCTTTTTAATGAACGAAATATTTACTCTTGTTAATTGAAAACAGATGGCATATTAGTCATTGTAATTGTGTACTACTAGATGGAAATCAATTATTTCTCTACTTTATTCAATAAACTCCCCCAATATTTTGTCAAAATTGTGCATATTAGGGCCCATGGGAATAAAATTTTTATTTTATGTCATCATTTTAAAGGCATTCTGAAAATTTTATGGGTTCTGCACATGTGGTAGGCAAACCGCGTTTCAGGCTTTTAAGGTTAACTCAATTACCGCCATCTTGGTAATAACAGTAGAGTCCAATTAGCCGAATTTTCTTTTGACATTTCATTGACTGCCTTGGTATTTGGTTTCTCACTTTCAGTTACAAAATTAGGTCAATCTTCACAATATGATTAAGATACCAGAAAATCGAACTTGTCCTTATCATTAGCTCGGTAGTTGCATTTTAATGTAATATCAACTTTGAAAAGGCTTAAGCTCACCTTGTCAATATGATTTACAATGACGTTACTAGTAAAAATTCTTTATACAAAAAAAATCAATACAATTTATTCTTTTAGCAAAGCAAATGAAGTAGGCATTGTCCAATTCTCTCCGTTTCGATCCTTTCAATTAAACCTATAACATTCAATAGCCACCCTATTTGAGAAGTTGGCGTTCAATTAATCGATATCCGCTTCCAGATTACTTCGTTGATATTTACTTGTCAATAACCTATAGAGACTTGCTGAATGTATATAAAAAATGTATTTATATATCCCCCCTCGCCTTAAAGGTCTCTTTTGTTATTTACATGATATCCCACTCACTTACAAACATTCTTCTTTGTCTTGCAAAGTTAGTGATAACTTTTAGCCGATTCCATGTTTAGCCAATCCAATTTCAATTTTGCTTCGAAGCACATTTTATGTTATCCCAGAATCGTTTCAATTGCCAATCATTTTTTGCATTGTTCCGGATTGTAGGCTTTGGACGGGCAACAAACCCACCCATCCTGTCAGTTGCCGCATGCATTCTATCGAATTCCTTTTTTATTCAACAGCACCTAAATCTCCACGCCAGCATCCATGACGTTAAGTTTACTACTCAAATACGCACTAATGTGATTACTGATCGACTCCCTGGGTGGGTCCTGGCGGAATATTAACTCGTAACCTACCATTTCACCAGAGTCTGAGCACATGATAAGCTCTATTCCAGACACAGCAACAAGTCTGTCTATTCACCATTACCCTATGTTCCTGTCCATCCTTGTTGTCTGCACCCCAATTTTTATAGCCCAGTTAAGTAGAGTTCCTTTTAAGTCTCCGTAGTTATTCCAACTATTGTGAAACTACTGGGTTTGGAACTAATGCCTTATAATAATTGAGGTATACGCCACCATGGCATATTTATAAAAGCAATCGCACCAGTCATTTTTTGCCAAATATTTTGCAGATAATTTAAAAAAATTTTTCAATGAAAACAAAAAATGAGGCGATTTTTTGGGTGTTCCCGTAAGGTGAATATTTTTCCCATTAAGATATGATTGCAATAGTTATCACGAGTTATTTTGACACATTATATATATAAATATATATATGTATATATGCAATTCCGTAAATTCATTGTGAAATGGATTGACTGTTTACAAAATTAATTTGCTCTTTCAATATTTCATCATTCGCTAGAGAATGATCAAAATATCTAACTGAATATAAACGTGAAATTCCACTCCTCCGACCAATGAAAAAATAGCGAAATAAATGGAATTTGGATTTTTAAAATCGATGTAATTTGCGTTTTTTCCACATCGATGCAGAGCGAACTATGCAAATTTGTATTTATAAACTTTGCCGAAAAGTCGAAACTTTATTTATTTTGTAATAGATTGTAAAATTATTTACTATTCAAGATTCTAAGTATTCAATAATCGGCGGTCGATTTTAATCGGCGTATAATAATAATAATAATAATAATAATAATAATAATAATAATAAACTTTGAATGAAATAAAGATTGCTTAAAGGAATTAGTGAATCTTTTACATGAAAAATTATAAAGCATTCTGAAACTTTGTTAATTGATTAGTGTATTTTTTTTGTATATTTCCTTTAAATACCAATATTCTTTAACACTTTAATTGTGATTTTGACCACTGGCACATATCAAGCAAACGAATTCAAAACCTGATATATGTTCACAAACTTTCTTTCTCTCCCAATGGTTTTCCCAATGTCTGCTTCACACTCTTCAGCGGTAGGTTATCGCTTAAGATAAGGTTAAAATTATGGTGTCGATGTCTATATGCCCGAACTTTATAGGTCATGAATATTGCATCGCGTCACATCGTCATGATTGGTTAATTCAAGGTCAAATTAGTTAGGTTCGAGAATGAATTACTTTTACCGAAGATACTACAGTATATGCTCATGTTTGTACTAGTTGCAACACGAGTGCACTCTTAATGGATGCACTATACCCTGAAAAATCTCCACGTTGACTAATGTTTGTTAATCTGAGAATTAGATCTACCACAGGTAGCTACTTCATACTGGTCTTCGAGTGTTTGAAATGCGATTCCAATGACTTTGCACTTCACTAACATTAACATAGAGTGGAAAAAACAACTCATTGTGTTTCTAGTGACAGTTGACATTGATAAAAATTCAGCGCCCTGGCTTACATTTACAGTATAAAGTATGCCTTGTGCTTATAAGTAGTTTATTAAATCACCTAAAAATTTGAGGGAAAATGTTTTTTCCCCTAAGTTAAGCGTTTTAAGTCATTGCAAATACGACGATCTAAAAGTAAGCGCAAATCTAATTTACAGAAAGCAACGCAATCCTTCTCTTCTCTTACCTTTAAGTACCACCTCTAAAAATCCTCAAATAACCCCCATTATAAACATTTTACTAATAGTATTTAGTTTAAATTAAGTTAGTCTAACAAGAGACTTAAGAATTCACCAATTTTCTTAGATTATTATATGCAGCCATGATTCATGTGCTGCAAAGTGGGTTCAAGATTCAGTAGTAGATACAGGTAGGGAACAAATCTCAGTTGAAGTGTGACTGATTTCTGCGCTAGAATAATCTATGGGAATATTCACAACTTAAATTATCATGATGAACGGGGTAGTGAAAACGTTTTTTTATAGCAATTTTGTCAGCTTTCTTTTAGTAATTTTGTGATGTGAATCTTGAAAACAATGAAATTCTATCGATTTGCTGCTAATTTATATGTAACTTGATGGCAAATGCGCCAACTTTGTGAGTGGGGTCTAATATGAATAATAAATTAATTTTTAACAATAATTATTATTGCTATTTCAAGACTTCGTGTTAGAATAGGAGTTTGGGGGTAATACTGTAGAGACTTGAAAGTGGAGATTAATTTAACTGATTCGTTATCACTGATGGTATTACTACGAATTGCCCCTTTTAACTTATTTTGAGAAGGTTCCATCACCTTGGAAACAGTGTGTCAGTTGGAGGGAAGTAATCAGTGTGTATTTTGGTGAACAAAACGGTCAAGTAAAGTTGATCGAAGGAGAGTTGACAAAGCCCGATCTTACCATTGAAACAGCTCTAGAGCGTTACTTTCCAACAAATGATGAGTAGTTGAAAGTACTTTCTTACCACAGGATTAACAGTTTATAATCCTTGAAGACACAATGAATGATCTTGTCTTGTGTAGTGTTATTTAGTATCTTCGGTCGTGGCATGACACATCCATTGAGTCCTGGATTCCCAATTTGCATTTAGCTGACTAATCCTACACCCAGAAGTCAATTCAGTCCTTTCTCAGACCACGTGGAAGCACATTGTGGTTTTAGTTAGATCCCAATGTGGTGTCAAATAGTGGTACGGACAGGCACATTTTTCCGCGCGCACGCGCGCCATCTGACCACGAGGGAGGCGGGGGGGGGGGGGGGGGGGGGGGGGGNGGGGAGTGCGCACACCTAAGGGCCCTTCCTTTTTCCGGTGAAAGCACATCGATCGCGTCCACGACGATACGTATCGTCGCACTGTAAACAGCAGCTGCTGCTGCTACAATATTGCGCGAAATCACATCACTCCTTAACATCCCTCTTCCCGGCCCTGGTGTGTTGTTATTGCACGCACACGCTTTAACTAATATTGCCTTGGCAGCAGTTGGTGTAAGACAGCCACGAAGTTTCTTAGTTAGTTAGTTAGTCAGAAGAAAAGTCCTCCGTGGACCGGCAGGTGTGAGGTCTTTCCTCCACTTTCTCTCTCATAAGCCCGAAATTTCCACATTAGGAACTTATTGCAAATACCTACTCAACATCGGAATATATATCAATTGAAATATGGTGGAAACTTCTCGCAACGTTGGATCGCATGTAAGTAACAAAAAGTAACGAAACCTTCCGACAGTAAAATATTTATGGCTTTAAGATATTTTAGAAGGGGATTTTCAAAATGGCAAATAACCCACATTTTTATTGCTTAATTGTACCCAATTAATTAATTAATTAATTTCATATAGAATTAAAGAAATCAAGCTAACTAAGCGATAAAAACTGAAATACTTCATTTGGTGGCTTAATATTGGTTGCTTTAGTTTATTTGTCTAATTGAATTGAAAATATCTTTAACCCTCTACAATTTTTATCATTAAACTTGTGAATTTTTTTATTTCATTAGTTATCAGGCTAAGCCCTATCAAATAAAATAAACCAGAATGTTTTTTTTCTACTTTTTAAACAATTTTGTCATTTGCTTTGTTTCCACGTGTATTATAAACTGGGTTAATCAGCACCCTGCCGAATTCCCATTGGTTTTTTTACCACAAATGGTGCCAAACAAAATTTTGTGTGAGAGAGAAGTCTGCCTTTTATTGGTACTTTAAATTCTACTCTACAAGTGAGATTGAAGACACACTAATTTAGCAGATTATACCCGTATACATACACACACGCGGAGAGAGTGAAAAAAAACGAAACAAAAATTCACTTTTTTTTTAACATAAACCCTAAATATGATGAACCCCAATAATCCCGTTGCACCCCTATCTGGGGTTAATGGAAAGAAGAAGCATAAACGAAGTCTCTCACTTACAGCCTGTTTCCCCGTGAGAAAGACATTTAGGCAGTGGGGGAGAGAGGATTTATTAGCTCGCATTCAGAGAAATACTAACCGCCGTTGTTTTACTCTTCCCCCTCGAACCTCCCCTATCATGGATGTAATCGATCATGTTGATGACAATATCTCTGTCCCGTCGGTTTCGGCTGCAATCGCCTCTGAAACTGATCAACACCTCACTCGACGATCATGGAATTTGCCTATCCGAATGCCTCGCGGTACATTAAAACGCCCGCGTAAACAGGCTGAAACAAACCAGAGTTTTCTACGTGGAGCAAGATCTGGAAATATTCAAAAAGTTACAGAATACCTCAATTCAGATGTGGATATCAACGCCGTTAGCTCGGTAAGCTAATTCTTAATTCCCTAAAAGTAGGTTAAAACGGGAGAGAATTAATTTTTTTAACTGAAATCAACTGGCCCATAATCGAATATTTGTATTTGACCTAAACTTCTATATTTTGATTTAAAGTTATTATTTTTATAAATAAAATTAAATATTTTCCAAAATTTTCTCTGCAAACCACTATATATCTGGCAATTTTTTTATTAGAATTCGAGATATCGTTTTAAGTCCCTCGATGTGGATTGTGTGATGTAGTGAAGCTTGCCACAAGGCTAAAAATTCATTCTGAAACTTATAAATCCGTGATCTTTGAGTGAAATTACCTCAAATTTGAAAATGTGTCATTTTGAGCAAAAAATAGCTCTGTGCTCTCGCATATAAGCAGCATTCCGACTATTGGCGTCATGAGAATTCTGAGATCACATTACGGTCGGGCGGAATTCACCAATCTTACACGCTCTCTCAAGCAAAAATATATTTCCATTAGATAAGTATCATAAAGGCGATAAAGAGGCTGTTGTTGTCTATTCTTTTAACCCAAAAAAATTCATCTAATTTTTGCTGCATCCTCGAATTTTAGAAAAGTATTGTTCAGTTGTGCATGTAGGTCCATTATTATGGTCTTGATTAACCAAGCTTCCTACTTATATCAATTGACTGCGCTACACTTCGCAAACTCTACTTCATAAAGCCAATGGTAACTCCATGAAAAGTAATTTAATAAGGTGCTAAGTATATTGATTTTATATATGTTGTCAATTGATAAGCAAAACTCCATAGTTTATATTTTGGCGCATTAAGAGAGCTTGGACATCATGTGCTATGACAGCAAAAATTTTGCACCTCCTTAAAGGAGCCTTGATCATTATCGAATAAGGCATACTATTGATTATTTCAATATTCATAGACAACGCAAACGAAACATATTACAATCCAAAAGTTGACCATTCACCTAATTTAATTATTTCCTATTTTTTTACAACACGAACAATATTTTTGCTCTCTTATTCATCGTCAAATTATTCAATAGGTCGAATTCGGTGGCTTGCTTAAAAGAGGTAAATATAATAAATTATATGAAATCAGCTATCAGCAAATTATTAATCAATATTGTTGGCGTTAATTTCAACCAATCAAATGGTAGGAAAGAATGTTCAGTTTAATATATTTATCAAAATTAAAGCTACCATAAGAATTTTATTTTTAGCTGCCCTTAAAGTAATCTAATCACAATTCGTTCGTTAAGTTCATTTATATATTTTTCGATTAGTTTCGGAAATTCGTCAGGGTAATTTGAGGAGTTATATGGAAGTATGCATAACAAATTACCACACTATGCCAAACAGATTTATCAAATTTGATGTTACTTTCACCAGCGTTGCGGACTATCTAAGCTTATAATTATCTCATTTATTTATTCTTACAGAAGTTAAGATAATTTGATTCATCTAAAGTATTAGTTACATACAAAGAGACAATAAAATTATTTTTTTTTGTATTCTTTTTCGGAAACGAAATGGGTGTTGGGGCCTTTATTTAGATCGAAATTAGAGCCCCTTTTGAGGTAAAATAAAAGTAGATGTCAAATTCAAAGCTTCGAAATAAATGGCAGTTGCTAGAGTTGAAAGTGATGATAGAGACAGAAGTGTGCATTCAATTATTGGTGAAATGTGTGTTAGAATTTTTAACTTATAAAGCGTTTTTTTAGTAATCAAGTACTCAATCTTCGATTGCTCTAAATTTCTTAAAATTTATAAAATTAATAATACCTATGAACATAATTAGTTAAAATAATTTTCCATTCATTTAATGCGATAGAAAGAAATTTTATACAAATATTCGAGGTAGTATCTCTAAGTGGATAAATAGCCTTTTATCTTTATTCACGGAGGTTCGATTGTGTAGAATTCAGTACCATTATGTGTAACATCAATAGAATACCTCTTTTATTGAATAATTGAAAGCAATATCTGTTATCTGGACTAGAAAATGAATTTGGACCCTCCTGTGGAAATTAATCTGTTCGAATAAACACCAATTACAAATTGTCATTTAATGAAAAAAAGAGCAGAGGTGAATCGCTTATTACCATGGTTAGTGATCCAGGACTTGATATCCACCGCGGCACACCCAAAGAGCCGAATGTTCGACCACACTGGTTGCTAATAAAAAATATTATCCGGAATTGTTAAAGTATTTAATAGCACTTGCAATTTAAGCTAACCTATTAACATAGCTTTTATAATACAAGAATGTGTTTTAATATATTGTCCCATGTCTGTTGTTGGATAATTTTTTATCTTTAAAATTGTGCCTTTGATAGCAGTTGGAATGGTTTAGAAGATCGTATTTTTGCTATTTTTACAAGGAAATCGCTAAAAAAGACCTCTAGGCGTTTAAATTGCCAGCAAATAACCAAGCACTGGGCAATATCTGGAAAATTTAAATCCAAGTTGTTTGAGAACAGAGACGTTAATGAATCACATTGAAAGCACATGCTCAGATCAGTGAAAAGGTGGGGGGGGGGGGGGGGGGGGGTAGGGGAACACAAATACACAGGAGAAAATTGAATAATAATCGATGAAATTACACGCGAATTCTTAACAATGACACAAAATGTAAATTCGAACACCTGATTGGTGCTTGCCTGATCGTTTTTGCTACTAGAAAAATAATTATCGTTTTGTGGTAATGATCACTCCTGTATATTGAAATGGTTCATTTCGAAAGGTCCTTTCAACGCTCCACCCTCTTAATATTACGAAGCTGGGGTGGGGTTGGGGGAGGGGGGGTTGGGATACAACAAATTCATTTTTAACATTTTGCACTGCAAAAAAGGAACTATTTTTTGATAGGTCACTCTCAACACGAAGTGGAATAGAAGAAAGATATGGAGGGAGGGATGGAGAAGGAGCGAAAAAATAGTCAAATCATTTGATTTTCGGATTCTAGTTGTAAAATACTCCACTGAATGGGCATTTCACCTTTTCATGAACCCCTGAATCAAATGTCCTAATTCCAACTTTCATTGACCAATCAAAATTCTATGATGTCCATGGCTTACTGGCCTTTATTGACTAACTTGGTTAGTGTCGTACTTTTAAAGCACCCTGTCTTACTAAGGATATGAAAACGTCAAGAAGAATACGCCTTACAGCGTTCATGGAACGGAAGTCCACTAGACTTTTGCCATATAATGATACTAATAATGTTTGTTAACTCCCTTAAAGGTGCGACTAACTTATGTACTTATTTTATTGATAGTATTTGAATTGCATTTACTTTTTTAAAAAATGAATTCATTCATCGTAAAATATTTGCATGCAGTATGTACTAAAAAAATCAAATTTGGAGTCACAAATTTCATAGCCAATTATTGATTTTTTTATCTTAAACTTTTCTCCTAGTTAAACACTCAAATCTAACGGTCATTCTCCTCTTTAGAATGGGCTGAATGCTCTTCACTTGGCATCCAAAGAGGGTCACCTTCCAATTGTCCGACTTCTACTTGATCATCACGCTTCCATTGATGCCAAGACAAACCGAGGCAACACAGCCCTCCACATTGCCAGTCTCGCTGGACGATTTGAAATTATTAAACTCCTTGTTGAACGTGGAGCCGATGTCAATGCCAGATCGCAGGTTAGTTGCACGATATTCTTTCTTTTTGACTTCTTATAAACCGCGTTATACAACCCCTGTTCCATCTACCACCCATTTTCTGGTGTTTAACTAGCGGGTAATCATTTTTTTTCCAATTATCGATTAAACGGATTTCTCGATGTACAAAGTCGGATTCAACTACTAAGCTGAATTAGGATACGAGGAGTGATTTTACCCAGCCTCCCTGGTGAAAAATGGAAATTCTATCCCTCCATTTGCTAGAGAGACTTCACCTTTGCGGCAGACAATTCCACTCCTTGGTTGTGCGCCGATGAATATCCAACGCGCCGCCCCTGAATTTTTAAGACGAAGATGTCTACCACGAAATTTATCGCTTCTCACTGTTCTTCATTTATGCTTTTGAGGATGATAGGGTACAACCGGTGATTACGTGTTATGAGAATGCTAATCCACTTTCCGTTTAAAGTAATCTAACCCGTTTTGAAATCTTTGAAACCTCAAGACAGATCTCCACTTTAGAGCATTTTGGGCTTATTCGAGTGGTTTTTCAAACATTTAATTGCGCTTTATTATTGAAGTTAATATTTTTTCTACCCTGATCCACTTACATTTCTTCAAGCTTGCATAAAATACTTCTCCGTGACGCTGCCAACCTAGTTCTTGAAATATCCCCTCACAGAACTAATCATCGCCCAAGGATTAACAGAAACCACACACCCCCCCCCCCCCCCACTCACTAAGAAGACCGAAATTCAAATAGGACTACAAGTTTGTACGATAATTAGGAATGAATGAGAAGGAAAAGGGAGAGAGGGGGTGGGTGAGGAATCAGTACGGAAGAAAGACAATTGGGATTGTGACATGTGCATGAAATGAGCCTTTCTCAAGTGAAGATATCAGTAGTGAACAAATGGAAATGAAGGAAGGAGAAAGGAGAATGGAGAAAGAGGGAAATTGTGGAGGGAATGGGGGAGGTGAGAGAAGAGTAGGTCCCTGAAATGAGCAGAGACATTCCGATTTGCTTAGAAACCATTGAAAGAGTTACAATAAGGCAGTTGACGAGCACAGTGTCCTTTCTTTGTTGATGTGCAGACCACGGTTATGAGTCAGCAGGCCAGCAATGAAGGGCGCGCAGGTATCACAGTGTACAAGATTTGTCTAAACCGACACAGGGCTCTTGCCTAAGGAGTTCATCACTTTTATGCACTTTGGGTTTTCATCCCTTTGAAGTTAATTTTGATAATGGTGAGGACTTCGTATCCAACATCCTAATATTCGATAGCTCATTAAATTTACCTACCTAATACTTTTTTCTAAGTCATCTTAAATGTTTATTGTACTATTTTAGAATGGATTTACACCACTTTACATGGCCGCTCAAGAAAATCATTTAAACATTGTGGAGTACCTTCTAAATAACGGAGCCGATCAATCCTTGGCAACTGATGTAAGGTTACAACCATTTATTACTCCAATCTCACTCTCAAATGAAGTAGGGGATTCATTCTTGATCGTGTAAATCCTAATAAATTGGATTATTACCAAAGTTTTCGCTTCATCGAATCGAAAATTTCATCTCACTACTGCACATACAGGTGAAAAGTTCGTTGTCAAATACGCATCACCTCTGATTGCCATATGCGATGCTTAATGAACCGCATAGTTTGGAAAAATTTTTACCACACCTTTATGAATAATTTTAGCTAGAAAAAGCGCGCCAATATATCAGCTGGTGCAGCTAATTTGCATCTGAAAAATTTAATTCTAATTATCGATAATCGATATGTAATAGTGCAAACTCGTCTATTCCCATTAATCACAATTAAAATTGCGAGAAATCGTCGACTAAACTCAATTTACATTTGATTTAAAAGTGGGATTTAAATGCGGTTATAGATTAAGGTGTAGTTAACTCAACCGAGATAAAATGATTAAAATAGTTTCAGCCGTCTGACTCAATAAGTTCCAAAAAGTTGAATTAAATACGCACCTTTCTTAAAGTCAACTCTTCGAGAGCTCTAGGTTTTAACGATCCTGTAGATGAGAACTATCGGTTAAAAATCGATAATATAGCAAAAAATAACCGAAATTTGATTATAATTATTTGCCACACCTTATTTTTTGCAGGATGGTTTCACTCCGTTGGCAGTTGCACTTCAACTATGCCATGACGGAGTTGTTTCGATGCTTCTGGAACGAGATTCAGGTGGGAAAGGTCGACTTCCAGCACTCCACGTCGCAGCCAAGAAAGATGATGTCCACGCGGTATCACTCCTACTTTCAAACAATGACGTGAATGTGAACCACGCCTCAACAGTAAGTACAGCTAATCTCATATGTACAGCAAACTTTATGAATAAGTAGTGACCTTGAAGCAACTCCTCCCCCACCCCTATTTGGAAAAAAACACATTAACTAATTGAATCATTGAAGGGTTATCGTAAAAAGAACGTGACATGAAGCACTCATAAAATGGGGTTTGATTTAAAGGTAAAAATCTTGTAAAAGTATACACCCATGGTTTCTTGACCACTTGAATCTCCACTACTGAAATTTTGAGTTCATTCATCTTTTAAGATTCGAATAACGGTTTTCCAAATGTTTTTTTCGATGCGGTTAGCATTATAATCATTTGAACATTTAGATATCATTGATCTATTGAAATCGGTGGAGACTTGGAAAATATTTTTCAATAACTGTGATTAGTTAAGGACAAGAGTAACTTTAAGAAAATCGAGGTCATTAACGCACTCCTCGGTTCCAACAATTTCCTGTAATTTAAAAAGTTGGCTGGAGGGTTAAATTCTTGTTCGTTTTATCCTCTAATTCAAAATCTGACTCCTTGATTTCCAATTTTCCACTTGAACTTAAAGCAATAAATCTGCAATGGTTCATGACCATTTTAGAGTTGTAATTCCAATGGCTTCAAGTTCTTACAAGTTTGTGTACTAGAATCATTTTTTGTGACTTAATTTAAAAGTTGAACTTTTGAGAGCTCCTAAGATTAAGTTCCGCGCATGATGGTGCTTTTCCAATTTGAAGAATCAATGGAGGTCAACTTTTGATTGGCTGCCTTTCTATGAACCAGGGATATTCTAGGGAGGAGACGTACTAACAGAGTTTTATTTCTCACTCAATGTATAAATCATTAGAGGTAATCAAAGAAATTTCGAAAGACAAAATTAACTAGCCCAAATCTGTAAAAAAGGGTTTGCATATGAATTACCCTTTATTTAATAGAATTGTTGGACATATACCAGTGATTCAATGGTACCTTCACAGGTAGATAAGAAAAAACTTAAAGATTACTGAAAGCCGTTCGAGATTTAGCCTTAACAAATATATTCAGAATATGCTATTCAACTCAATAGGCCAAAATACGAAATTCTTTTGGGTTTTAACATATCAATATATTGCATGTTTCCTCAACTTCAAAGTTAGTTTTGCTTGCATTTATTAATTTATATCAAATGGCAGGTGTCTTGATAGTTATCATTAGCCCTTAAGCTGACTTCGGGCTTCACAGAGGGGAGGAGCATCAAAGTGAGACAAATTCAAGAGGGGTTACAGAAGAGTGATTCACAGATGTAAAAGAAACAGACAGACACAAAGGCAGAGAAAAGGTAAGATGATTACTGTGGAAGTAGTCGAATATGACTATATGGTAGTTTGAAGTGAGAAGTCAACTGCCGGTTAATAGACCTTTTTGCCGTATGAGGTAAGTTGATCGCGCACCCCAGTCTTGCGTATATACATACACTTACATGCGTGACAATAAATCCTATTCGAAGAAGACATTCCAATGACTTTAATTATTTTAAAAAATAACTTTTTCTATAAAATAGTGACTGTTAAGTGCGTGTGTGTGAATATAAAGCGGTAGTCCTCTTTTAAGTTCAATTTAATTTCACCTCAACACGGAATATTTACTCCCATAGAAGTTGGGGATCTATAGCCTTTGCGACAATAAGGAAATGTTTACGTGAAAATAAAAGCAGGAATTATCACAAATCGGAAATGAAGTCTCCGTGCTTGAAATTTCCTGTATATAATAAACAAAATTTGCGTATAAGTTGAACTTATTCCGAGTGGATTTCATTACTATCTTGCCCAACTTTGAAACCGTCGAAAAATCAGCAGGTGGGCTTTGATATGGCCCGAATTCAATTTACTCGTAAAAGTTAAATTCCCGTTTATGAGGTAAGAAGAGTGATTTGACTTACTAATACAGTGAAAGACTTGAGGAAACTAAGGCGAATGTGAAGTGATCAACATGGAGGTCTTTCCACAATCGGTGCTTCTTCAGTGACACAAATAACTACCTATATTGGTCAATTTTAATCGATAAGGGAGGTGATAAAGTATAAGCTCCCTACAAAAGCGGCTTAAGAGGACCAGCCTTTTCTCAACACAAGCGTCGATGTCACTTTCTTAAATGGTCGTGAAGTGAAATCATGGAAGATTGATCCCCGTGTCCGTTAAATAGTACAAAGTTTGTTTGAATAAAATGGTTAATTGTGAAACTCCAAAAGCTTACTCAAGCATTTATTGATTAGTTTAAAAGAGTAGAGCAATCATGTGGGCTTAACACTAATTAATTAGATAGTGATGGCGTCAACGCCCATCATTTATAAATCGATTGATTTTGTGTACGCTTTTCAATGCTGCTTAATAAAGTACAAACGAATTATTTTCCAATCAAAATGCACCTAGTAAGAGCTTAAGCTATTTCCACGTTAGTTACACATAAATCGTTATATTTCAGGGTCAAAATCTTTGAAATTTACCTTCCTTCAAAACCACTGAATGTTTTATTGAAATTATCATCTCTCATTCAGTAGTCGAAATATTTTATGACTATTTGGTCAAGTAAACAAACGCGCATCAATTATCCATAAGTATTAAAGGCGAAAATGATTTCCATTTAGCATTGCCATTCTTACAGACAACGAGTTTGTTTTCGCAAACTATTTTACTCCTAAATGTATAATTAATAAAGCAAATACTTCAAGTGCGCGAAAACACCTTAATGTTTGAAATTGAGGAGAACTCGATGATAATTTAATGGATCTTTCGAAGTTCAATTACCTTTAATTATGCTAAAGTTGACTATGCATTGTGAGACGTGTTCATTGTATTTTTTTGTCAAATTTTTATTAATTTTCTTTTTAATTTCCTTTCAGCGTGGTTTCACGCCCCTACATATCGCGGCTCGGTATGGTAATTTGAAGGTCGCTCGTCTTTTTACTAGCAACGGAGCCGACGTTAATTATTGTGCCAAAGTAAGCCTCGATTTCATATCAAAACATCAGTTTATTAATAGTCAAGTGACGCATGACAATGCAGGATAGACTTCTATAGGATTTAAAAATTGAGAAGCAAGTATAAGGCGTGCAGTTTATTTGAAGTAATTAAATAACCATAGGGCACATTGAGCCTTTTTCTGTTTTTTTTAGTTCCAGTTTTGCAAAGCTGAAATTCGTCACTTGATGCCTGAGTTTAAGTCAGCAATATATAGAGTTGTTTGGACCTTTATTTAAATTTGACAGTTGATCGTATTTTCATGAATAATTCAAAAGTGGGTAAATAAAACGTGCAATGATGTGTAGGCAGAGCAACATCTATTTTTAGTTGATTTGTATTACGAACGCCAATTTTGGAATGTGTTTTCCAAACCCCCCCCCCTGCTCCCGAATTCAATTACTTCACCAGGAAATCCCCATGGTTAGAAAGTGAGCTCGGTTGCTTGACTCAATGGGCATTGAAGCATTGCATCTACTTTCCCAAACGAGTAAGATGAGTACTGTGGAAGTAGTGGAATATGAAATACAGTGGGGTCATGGTAGTTTGAAATCAGAAGTCAAATGAGTATACGTTGCCGAGGGTGCACTACGTAGAGGTTAGTCTATCGTACACCCCTATTTTCCCAAACGAGCGCTATAACCGCACAGTTCACAAACTGCATTCATTTGGAATGCGAATAAATCAATTAAGTAAATAAAGTAATTTCTATTTTGTGGGGATAAGTTATCGCTTTTCACTTAGAAAGGAGGCCTTTTATCGCTTTGTGTGCAACTGAATGCCTTTGCGGTAGAGATTGGCGCAACTTATCACTTCAATAACTTTTTACGACAATTAAATTATATTTTAGCCTAGGCCGCTTATCTTTACTAAAGAATTAATTTACATTTAAATTGAGAATGTCATATATATATCCACCCTAGGGGTCATCCATACATATAATACCTCATCAATAAGCTTAAATTCACAATAATTTTGAGTATTTTATGGAAAAACATTTTCACTGGACGTTATTCTATCATTTATTTATTTATTTCAAATGGCAGGCGTCTTGATAGTTATCATAAGTCCATTAACTGACTTCGGGCTTCACAAAGGGGAGGAGGAACATCAAAGTGAAAAAATTCGAGAGGGGGAACAGAAAAGTGATTCGAAGATGTAAAAGAGATAGACAGACACAAAGGCAGAGAAAATGTAAGATGAGTACTGTGGAAGTAGTGGAATATGAAATACAGTGGGGTCATGGTAGTTTGAAATCAGAAGTCAAATGAGTATACGTTGCCCAGGGTGCACTACGTAGAGGTAAGTACCGCACACCCCGACGTCGTTCTATCATAGAGTCATGGAGTCTGATAACTCCTTTTATTCAGGGCTGGATAAATTGAGCTGGTTCTCCTTTAATGAACCTAATCACGTGACATCACTGTGTTTAAATCAATAAGAACAATGGAAGCAAGCCAAAAGTCAATTTGCGGATGAAATAAATGTAAGAAACGAGGTTACAAAATTTTATTGAAAGGAGAGTCATAAAATTGATTTTTAAACTTAAATGGCATTGTATAATACAATGACTTGGATAATAATTATAATAATAAGTAAATAATAAATTAAGAGTCAGTTAACTTTGCAGTAATGTGGATTGTGAAATAAAGTATATTTGCAAGCTGGGATGGTGATCTAATCTTGAAGTCTTTGTGAAACCCAGTTCCCATTTCAGTACACAGTTAGCAGAGTTACTGGAATATTATTATTATTATTATTATTTCAAATGGCAGGCGTTTTGATAATTATCATATGCCCATTAGCTGACTTCGGGTTTCACAGAGGGGAGGAACATTAAAGTGAGAAAAAGTAGATATGGCGAACGGAAGGGTAATTCACAGATGAAAAAGAGACAGATGGGCACAAAGGCAGAGAAAAGGTGAGGAGAGTACTGTGGAAGTGGTCGAATATGGCATACAATGGGGTCATGGTAGTTTGAAGTCAGAAGTCAACCGCCAGTTAATAGACTTTTTTGCCGTATGAGTATACGTTGCCCAGGATGCACCACGTGGAGGTAAGTCTATCGCGCACCCCAGTTACTGGAATATCAATTTCCACAGTTTAATGGCTTGTAAGGCAAACATTTCTAGCACAATCGAATCGTTTGCATTTTATTTGCTTTTCAGGACAGCATAACGCCACTTCATCTTGCTGCTAAATGGGGTAAAGCGGAAATGGCCCAACTCCTGATCGATAAAGGCGCTCAATTGGACGCACGAACACGAGACGGTTTGACACCCATGCACACTGCTGCTCGATCTGGACACACGAATGTTGTCCAGATTCTACTCAATGCTGGAGCCAGCATTACGGCCAAAACGAGGGTAAGCAACATTTTGTGCTTTTCTTTAATTCGACATTTAATTTTTTTGGCACTGTTCAAATATGGAAACGGAATAGAGCAAGTTGCTTAATCAAATTGGTCCAACCTGTTATCGCGTGGGGTATATCGATTTTTATATAACTTATTGTCATGTTCGCAAAATTATATGACCCATTGGTAAGGTAGCAAAAATAGGAATTCCATCCCCTAGAACGGTCCTCAAATTGGCCCTATTGAAGTTCTCCGATTCCTCCTTCTGATTACTGCTCCGACTATTATTCAAGTGTGTTAGCAAACAATGCTTTTTACGAGGATTATTTCTATTCTTTTCCAGACTATTAAGACGGATGTTTGCATTTGATAAGAATGTTTGGAAAATAATGTGTAATTATCTGACTTTTCTCAAACAGGCTTTGGACGGAAAAGCACAATCTGATTTTCAGTCTGATTTACTATCGTAAAAAAACGTGTACTTGATATATCGTGTGGTTTTGGTGGAAGCGAAATCTTAATACAAATTTCTCTCCAGAACGAGGATTCAAAAATCATTTTTTGTTTGAAGTAATAAACTATTTTGAAAGTACACTGTACCATTAGTAGCGTGGAGGTAACTTCTCTCATTTCTTTCACAACAAAGAAGAAATTTTTATTTGTCTCCTCATTTGTGTCCTGATTTTTGACAATTTTTACACACTGCGCATTTTCATTACTATTTACTACGCAGAACAAATACCACTTATAAGAAAAAACGCGATGTGTGGTATTCAGATTGCCGGTTGGCATTTACGTCACCTGTAAATCACAACAAGGAAAATATCATTCTGAATGCCAACTTTTATCGCCAACGTGGCAAAGAAGTTCCATTCTTTATTTCTCTCAGTTTAAGAATAGAATTTATTTACTTATATCGAATAACAGGCATTTTGGATGTTATCATTAGCCCTTTAGTTGACTTCAGGCTTCACAGAGGGGAGGAGGAACATCAAAGTGAAAAAAGTCGAGAGGGAGGGGGACAGAAGAGTGTTTCGAAGATGTAAAAGAGACAGACACAAAGGTAGAAAAAAGGTGAGGTGAGTACAGTGAGGTAGTCGAATATGACATACAGTCGGTCATGGTAGTTTAAAGTGAGAAGTCAACTGCCGGTTAGTGAACTTTTTTGCCGTATGAATATACGTTGTCCAGGGTGAACCACGTGGAGGTGTGTCTATCGCACATCCCCATGTGTTAAATATAGAGTTCTTTATAGGCTCTATGCTTAGAATAAGTTGTGAATAAGCCTGACTCACTGTTTTTATGCCTCCCATATACCTCCCTGAATTCGTAGTACTTTGCTCAAGTGGAATTCGTCAATGCGGTACGCCTATCTTCAAGCCTTATTTCTCTTTGTAGAACGGTCTCTCTCCCCTCCACATGGCTGCTCAGAGTGATCACGCAGATACTGCCAAACTCCTCCTTAAGAGAGGATCACCACCTGACGACGTAACAATGGTGAGCCCGCGAGTCTCTTATTTTTTGCTTATTTTTTGCACTTTTAATGCGTCATTTCTGATTGGACTAGCACGTCACTCAATGGGTGTATTCTAATTACAGGTGCATTTTAGAGTGCTCTTCATGGAATTCAGAGTATAAGTACCAAATGGGTTAGATTGAGAAGTTAAGAGCAATGTCCTTGGCTTAGTTTCTATTTCACGACGAAAATGAGCTATTGTGATTAGGTTGAGTTCTAATTAATCTAATTTATAATCTTAAAAGGCGTGTATTTATTACTGCATTGAATTCGTTCAATAGGATTTGAAAGTTGATACTCTATTTACGAAATTACAAACATTCTTTTCAAATGGCGGGCTTTATGATATTTATCATTAGCCCTTAAATTTTGACTTCAGCTTCCCCCAAGGGTGGGGGGTACATATATAGCAGTTAATTAACAGCAATTCATTAGCTGTCTTCTTGCTTCCCAGTATCTTTGGCTTTCCGTCCTTGTCTTTAGGGCTAGACATCGAATCAGGTGGGTCTTCTCCATTTCCTCCTGTAGGTTACATAGAGGGCATGTGGGTTAAGTGTATACTCCCAATCTGTGAAGATATTCTTCCAGGCAATCGTGTCCGGTGCGTAGTCTAAACTCAGCAACGGCTTCGATTCTTGGCCATTCGGCTATGTCGGAGAGTGCCACTGTCCACTGTTTCTCCTTTGTTCCAGCTTTAAGTTCGTTGCACCTTGAGGTCTTGAATTCTCTCCTGATTAGCGCCTTTATTGTGTGGAAAGACATCAGCCGGTCCATGCATTGCAAAATCGTCGTCCCCTTCTTAGCAAGTGTGTTAGCAAGCTCATTGCCTTTAATGCCACAGTGACCAGGGATCCATTGTAGGACCACTGTTTTGTTTTTCTCTCTCAGCAGCTCATAGAGTTTTCTAAATTACAAACATTATAATGAAAAAGTTCGAATGCAAAATTCCCAATTGTACAGATCGATCTCCCTTGGCAATATTAATTTTGAGTCACTATTTATCCAGCTGGTCCAAATGTATACAGATTTAGAAAAATATATATAAAGTGCGTTTCTCCCTACTAAAGAAATTTCCCGCATTAATGCACAATTTTCTTTAATTAGGCAAAATCTAACGAAGGATGTCCCTTTTTTAAAAATTAAAGTAGTGATTTTTATTTCCACTCTGGTGGACAACTCAAGTGTTCTAATTCCTATTCATGGAATATTTGTGATATTAGCATTGATAAGCCTGCAAACCCGCTCCATGCACTTCCAGCTTTATTCCCACTTGCATACTAACGCCAATTAATGTCAAGTACACACTTTGCCCAAAGGCTCACCAATATGTGTATGTCCTCATTGAAAACGGGCAGATCGCGGCATGATATTGATCGTGTCCTCTAGACGACCCAACAGTCTTCACTCTCCCTCCCCCCCCCCCCCCCCCGCCTGTCCCCACCCCTGAACGTTTTTTTTCAAAATGCGACCAACTATTATTATCTCGAACTTAATTTCCTGCCCATATGAATAGGTTGTAACAATTTTATAGTATCTCATAGAAACAGGATTGGAATAGGTTCAAATAACACAGTTTGCATTTCAAATTGCCCCATTCATTTACCACATTTTTATTTGTTTTGATAGCGCATTGTTAAAATACATTGCCTCCACATGTTACCGAGGCTTAGAAACCAATTCTTAAAGGAAATCAGAAGAGAATTTCGCAAATAAATAACTTGACAACTTGACGTTGAGTTGTATTCTCTGATAACAAGGACTTCCAATAGCAAAAATTTAGTTTAAATCACAAAATTTTAATCAAATGAAATGTTACTATAACGCATAATAAGAAGCGTAGGGTTGTTTTTATGTTAAGCTATAAAATAAAAATGCTTCAAAATTCAGTTATCGGAATTTCCTGTTGTTGTAGGACTACCTAACGCCTTTGCATATCGCCTCCCATTGTGGAAATACGAAGGTCGCGCAAGTTCTCTTGGAGCACAAGTGTGATCCCAACCTTCGTGCATTTGTAAGTCTCCTTTCTACGAAATCTGACCCCTATATGTCCGATTTCCACTATTATTAATACTTTAACAGAAGGGCTTTTGATGACAGTCTTAGGTTATTGATTGAAATTCAAGGCCAATTAAGGTAGAATTAAGCGTCTGCAAGCTGGAACCACAATTTCTTTCCTCCTGGATATCGTCATTCAATTCATTCACCTGATTGAGTTCTTTTGTTAGCTTATTGATGCATTACTGGTTCCCCCATTCTTTCTGACTTGATTATCGTCCCACAGTTGTTGTAAATTTGGTGAATTCACAAGGGAAAGCAAAAACTTTATTTCCATTCTAATTTTCAACTAAGCAAAGTTAGAGGAGTAGTTATATGGATACAGTTACTTCGCGTGCTTTTGGAGAAGAAAATGGCTTAGCTCAAGTATTGCTGACTCATTGGCAATGGTTGGGTGTGCCAAGTGAAACAGCAGCACCAGACTATTTGAATGTGGTGGAAAATGTCCCTTTGAACAGCTATCTCTAACTTGCCCAATTCTATTTGCCTACTTATTCAAGCGTTTAGTTACCGAAGTGACGGACCTCTTAACTGCTTTCGCAGAAATGATCTAACAATTTTGTTCCATAAAAAATTCCTTTTGCAATTCCATTGACTGTCAATTACATTACTCATTACTAGCGAGACCTCAGGTGTGAGACAGTAGCCTTGTCTTGAATCCGTCTTAAATACCCCGGCTCTATAGAAGTAGAATTGGCAGTTAGGCTTGCAAAATACATTGTACAGCCTTCAGTAGTACTTCAAACCCCCAAAACTGCTAAGCTCTCTTTTTCGAGAAGGTATTCATCAAAGTAGCAGAAAGTCGAGGGGTGGGGAACAGAAGAGCGATTCACAGATGCAAAAAGAGGCAGACAGACACAAAGGTGGAGAAAAAGGTAAGACGAGTACTGTGAAAGGGGTCGAATATGACAAGCAGTACGGCCATGGTATTTTGAAGTCAGAAGTCAACTGCCGATTAATAGACTTTTTGCGGTACGAGTATACGTTGCCCAGGGTGGACCACGTGGAGGTAAGTCTATCGCACACCCCGGAATGTGGTCATATAACATTTCACGCCCTTGTCCACGTATTCATTTTTTTCAGTGATAACAGAATAAACTGTATGATTTGTGGATTTGTGAAATAGATCCTTGAAATGAATCATTGAAATAGATCCTTGAAGGTGAGGAATTCATTTCCAAAACTAAGCTCTATTTTGTCACCAATTTCAGAATGGATTCACGCCTCTTCACGTTGCTTGCAAGAAAATGAAAGTCAAAATTGTTGAACTCCTTCTCAAGAAGGGTGCCAATGTCGATGCTACTACACAGGTAAATTCATTTCCTTAATTTTAGGCCATGGGAAAAATGATGCAAAAAACTGTCACATTTCTGTTTAAGTTTTACGCTTTTAGCTTTATAACGTACTGATCCTAACTGATTAGATAGACAAAATAGGCTCGAGCGAGTGGGGGGGGGGTATGAGATCAGCCCAATTTCAGTCGCCCATATAAGTGGGAGTCAGTCATTTTGTACAAAACTGAGAGTCTGAATGCCGAAACCAACTGAAATGAAAAATAAAAAAGTGAGAATAGGGGGGGAGTATTTAGAAGAAAAGGTAATGAAAAACGTTTCATATTATTAAACTGGGACCATTTTTAACGGTCAACAATCCACGCAGTTGCCTTTTCAAGAAATTTCCAGATTTTAAGCTCCTTTTGGAATAATTCATCGCTAAATGTAGTCTGTGAGGACGTATTAGTCTCCACACGTACCAAAAATCAATAGGAATGTACGTTTCCCATAACCCATTATGCAAGGTACCACTTGTGCTCGTTATTTAAGGTGGGAAAGGCCTTAAACTACTCAGAAAGAAGATCAGTGGCTCAAATAATAGCTAACACATTAAAAAGGAGTGAATAAGTGCTTTCTGATTGGCTGGTTGCTTCGCGAGTGTGGTTAGCCAATAATCAATAATTCAGTGCACTCAATGCATTTTCTTGTTTCTAAATTCTTTCCTTACTATACCCAATCACAGATCATCGTTCTATTTATTTTATGCTTTAATAATTTATTAGTAAAATGATAGCATGATAAGACATTTAGCTGGTGGGTTCGCCCATAATATAATTGGCTCTCCAAACAACGTCTAAATGAATAGTCTTCGTTAGATATATTCAATTATCCAAGTGCAGTTATCTTCATTGGCGTGGGAAGGCCGTTTCAGCCAAATGTCCATCAATTGAGTAAGTATTTGCTTAAAATAAAGAAAAATAATGATGTGTGGAGGCAGAAAGATGTAATATTAAGGTAAAAGTTGAGTTTATAGTGTGTCAAAGACCAGAGATTTGTCCTCGCGTTAATTCCCCCCTTAAAACACATATCCAAAACTCTTTGTTGGCAAACAAAAGGGTCTTGAAAATGGGCAAATTTCTTCTAGAAAAATTTATTGAAGCATTAGACAAAAAACTGCACTGCAGAAAATCACTTCTTTCATTCGAAACTAGTCATCTCTTTATATATGCCAGACCAGGCTCGTTAAAAAAGCCCGCCAAGCGTCTGACTCAAACATGCTGGGGAACGCTAATAATGTTTGTGTTATTTTTTTTTACTATTTTCAGGCTGGTTTGACACCACTGCATGCAGCAGCTTTCGTGGGGTGTGCAGAAGCAGTGAAAATGCTACTTCAACGCGGAGCCAATGGGAATCAGGTGACTATGCGTGGCGAAACACCTCTGCATTTTGCTGTTCGTGGTCGACACATCGATACAATCAAGATTCTCCTCAAACATTCAGCATCAGTAAACGCTAAAGCCAAAGTGAGCAAGTGAACTTTTTCTGAGGCTTGGTTGATTGATTTCATCTCCAGGGCTTTTAGAGCATTAAAAAACGCGGCAGATGCCTTTAATTACCTTTCCGATTTCTGTTCACCATCCAGTAATTTCATTTAGTCTCTGTGTGAGTAGCTACGTGGAAAGCTAAGCCTCAGTTACCTCCTTAGGCGTTGTTCAAATCCCTGCTGTCATCACAATTATGGCGGTATTTGGAATGCAATTAATTAATTTTTTTGAATACTTAACTAATACTTAACTTTGATTTCGGAATGGAAGTTTAGTTCAGAAAAAATAGGACTTCGAATTCATTATTCCTTCTTTAAAATGGGATTTACAAGTTTGTCCTTCCAATTTCTTCACCGATGGCTTAACGAATTGCTTTATTCACATCTTTTAAAATAGGTCATTCAAAAATATTGTTACTATAATTTAAGATGCGCGTATTCTCCTGTACGCCTTCCGTATTAATATTTAATAATTTGGGGAAATTGCTTCATTGTATTATTTTAATTAGCTTGCTATATGGAGAGTGCATACACTCTGTGCATTAAGAATTCAAGAAACTTTTCATACCAATTTCACAATGCCCATTTTGAACACTATAATTTATTGGCACAATTTCGCCTTTCTTAAGCTATTAGGTCATTGAAGCCGATTATGATTTGTGGTAATCAATAAACTCGAAGCGTTATCTACACTTGGCATTGGTGGCGTGAATTCAATCTTAAGCCAACAAATTTATCTATCAGAATGAACTAGGCATTCACATCACCAGATTTGCATCTATGAGAGTGACTTCTGGCCCAGATAACTTGCATGTGGACAATTCTCAGTTCTACTTATGACTACACTACTTACATTCATTTTAAACCAGGAGCCCATCACGTAGTGATTTAGATTGAGGTGAATATTTTTTATGCCAAAATTGTTTAAATTCATATTTTGACACTTGGAGTATTCAGTAATATGACCGTTCGTTCCATTTTGGCAAACTCCGAAGTTGGGGGGGGGGGGGGGGCGGATGGGAGAAGGGAGAGGGGTGTGTTTTTTACGGTAGTTCTACTCCTGTTTAAAAAATCGACCAAATTCATAGCTTCGTTTATTAGATCTCTTAATCTAGGGCTTTTTTCTGCCCTCAATTTCATTACATGTGTTTTAGAGACGCGGTAATTAGGGTTTTTAATTCTTTTCTTCACAAAGTGAGGGTTCACACTGTGGCACGCACACACACACACAAATGTCACAAAGCGTTGCAAAAATGTTACCAGTTAAAATATAAACTATAACGTCGCCAATCGAAATTGACAAACACAAAGCCTTGCATTCCAATTGGTTGGCACTCAAGTTCGTGAAGTGGGAAGGGGGAAGGAGGCATAATTTGATTGGTTCTACTTTCCAAGAGGACCTAATGTGTTCATGCTCACTGCATATTTGAAATTCGCCTTATTCGTACAATATTCGAATGTCAATTTATAAAGATTTAATATTCATTTAAAAAGTAGGAGTTTTTTTTTATAAAGAAACGTGATGAATAACATAGCACACTTTCAAAAATTCTGCAAATGAAAATAATAATTGATAATGGTCAATATATAGATATTTTATTTAAAATAGAGATTAGACCTCGTGTTTTGCATTTGTTACCAAAGAAATATTTCCGCTTGAATAAGTTAAATATTTAAGATAGCCAAAAAGGTAGGAAAATTTTTTTAAATTTTTATAAGGTAGATATTTAAGTAGATATTTAAATTATTTGAATTTCGGAAGTACCGAGTTCTAAAGTTTAAGTTCATGATCAGATAATTAATCCCTCCTGATATATTGAAACCAGACCAAATTCCAACAAGTGTCTAATTCGACCACTTCCACAGTACTCTCCTTTCTTCTACCTTTGTGCCTGTCTCGCCTTTACATCTGTGAATCACTCTTCTTCCCCCCCTCTCCCCCCCTCTCCCCCC